CTTTGATCTGTAGTTCTGTCCTGTGTCCCATAGCCTCTGTCCTGAGCCTCTGTCCTGTGACCTGTGTCCTATGTATATAGCCTGTGTCCTGAGTCCTGTAGCCTGTCCCTATGTCCTGTAGCCTGTGTCCTGTGTCCTATGTTTTTTAGCCTTTGTCCTGTCTCCTGTAGCCTGTAACCTGTGTCCTGTAGCCTTTGGCCCATGTCCTGAGCCTGTAACCTGTGTCCTGTATCATGTGTCCTGTGTTCGCTATTCTGTGTCTTATATCCCTTGTCCTGTGTTATCTGGGCTATGTCCTGTGTCCTGTAGCCTGTGGCCTCTGTGCTGTAGCCTGTGTCCTGTGGCCTATGTCCTGTGTCTTGTGTCCCATAGCCTCTATCTTATGTCCTGTGTTCTGTGTCATGTAGCCTGTGTCCTGTGTCCCATAGCCTGATTTCTAGCCTGTGTCCTTGGTTCTGTATTCTGTGTCCTCTATCCTGTGTCCTGTTTCCTCTGGCCTATGCCCTGAATCCTGTAGCCTTGGCCTGTGACCTGTGGCCTCTGTCCTGTGTCCTGTAACCTGTGTTCTGTAGCCAGATCCAATATCCTGCACCACAGCATACAGCACACCGGCCACAGGACAAAGGCCACAGCTATGGGACATAGGCCACGGACTACAGGACACAGGCTACATGACACAAGACAGAGGCCACAGGTCACAGGCCACAGGACATAGGATCCAGAGCACAGGGCACAGGCTACAGGACACAGGACACAGACTACAGGACATTGTCCACAGGCTACAAGAAACCAGCTTCAGTACACAGGATATAAGCTACTATAAAGAGACACCAGCTTTAGGACAAAGACTACAGGACACAGGCTATAGGACACAGGACACAGGCACAGGACACAGACTACAGGACACTCGACACAGGCTCAGGACACAGGACACAGGCTACTACAAAGAGACACCAGCTTTAGGACAAAGACTACAGGCCACAGGATATAGGACACAGGACACAGGCTCAGGACACAGACTACAGGACACTCGACCAGGCTCAGGACACAGGCTCAATACACGGGACACAGGCTAGGTGGACATAGGACACCAGCTAGAGGACACAGACCACAGGACACAGGTTGCATACATAGGCCACAGGCTACAAGATACTGGACACAGGCTACACAACATAGGACACGGGACACAGGACTGAGGCTACAGGACACAGAATATGGAACACATGACACAGCTACAGGACACAGATCAGAGGATACAAGACATGGGACACAGAGGATAGGATATAGCCTATAGGACAAAGGACAAAGGAAACAGACTATCAGACATAATTACAAAGGCTACAGGACACTGAACACAGGACATAAGACACAGGCTACAGGACACAAGACACAGGATATGGGCCACAGGGAAATAAGCTACAGGACACAAGACACAGGCACATGACACAGGCTAAAGGACAGAGGGAAACAAGACACAGGACACCAGCTATAGGACAGAGGCAACACTACACTGGACACAGGACATAGGCCACAGGACACATGCAGAAAGAAACAGGCCAGTGGACACAGGACACAGGACAAAGGACACAGGCTATAGACACATGATATCGGACACAGGCAATGGGACACTGTCTACAGGACAAGGACACAGGCCACATGAAAGGCTAATGGACATAGGACACAGGATAGAGGACACAGGCTACAGCACACAAGCTACACTCTATAGGACAAGCTATAGGTCACAAGTTATAGGAAGAAGACAGAAGCCACAGGACACACACACTAGCCACAAAACAGGACACAGGACACAGGCTACAGGACACAGGCTGTAGAACATAGGACACAGGATACAGGCCACAGGACCACGCCTACAACACAACACCAGGCTACAAGATACAGGCTACACAACACAGAACACAGGCGAAAGGACTCAGGCTACAGGACACAGGACAGATTTCAGGACACAGGTCACAGGCCACAGGACATAGGCTCCAGAGCACAGGCAGGGCCCTGGCCACGCTCCAGTGACATGCCCCTCTCTCCTCCTTGCCCTCCAGGGCCATGATCCCCTCAGGCAGGGCCCTGGCACCCTCTAGGGCTGGGCTCCTTCTCCTCTCCATGCCCTACAGAGCCAGGCCCTGCTCCCTTCAGTTGTGGCACTAGACACCCAGCAGGGCTGCCCCACTCTCCTTGTCCTCCAGGGCCTGGGGCCCCACTCCCTAGTTGCCCACCAGGGCCTGGGCCCAGCTCCCATTGCTGTCCTTCAGGGCCAGGCCCTGCTCCCCTCACCACATTCCAGAGCTGGGCCCCAATCCCCTCCTCAGCCTGCAGGGTCGGGCCCTTCTCCCCTCAGGCCCGGCCCTGGCCTCCCTCCCAGGGCCAAACTCTGCTCCCCTCCTCACCTCCAGGGCCAGTGTTCCCCTCCTCATGCTCCAGGGCTGGCACTGTCGCTCCCCGTCTTCATGGAGGAACGACACAGGACCCTGCGCTGTTCTTTTTGTCTGCTCGGCCCTCCCCGGGTTTGCTGCTGGTTCTTCCCGGGGTGGCTACCGACCCTTCCACCTCCGTGGAAGGGCGGTTCCCCCTGCCACATTCCCCACTTCCGCGGGGGAGCGGCACACCGCCGGCCGGCTCTCTTGGGGCTGCACAGGTGTTCCTTCAGATAGATGTTCCCCTTAGATGTTCCTGGTGCATGTTGTCTCTCTCCTCCTTTATAGTCCTCTTCCACCAATCCCAACTCTGCTACCCACATGCCGAGTACGCTACTCTCCTCCAATCAGGAGCAAGATCAGCTCCTGCAGCTCAGTCAATCAAGTTGGTGATAGGCAGCTGGGTAGAAGCTGTTTGCTCCTCTCCCAGCGCCATATTGTGGGAGAGCAGATGTATAGAATAACTTTTAATTCCAGTAACAGTATAGTCCAAGTTGCTCCCCACAGGCACCAATCTCCTCCTCGCACTCTTGGTCTGGCTCTGCTCCCCTCCTCCCCATCCACAGCCAGGCCCTTCTCCCCACAGGCCCATCCCTGTCCTCCCTCCAGAGCCAGACCCCCGCTTTCCTCCACACCTTCAGGGCCAGCCCCTGCTCCGCTCCTGGCCTTCCAGGGCCTGGGTCCCATACCTCTCCTTGCCCTGCAGAACCTGGCACCCACTCCAACCTTCACACTCCAGAGCCTGGGCCCCACTTCAGGGCTTCCCTACAGGGACAGGCCACACTACCCTCAACACCCTCCATGGCCGGGCCCTGCTTGCCTCCTCGCCCTCCAAGGCCTGGGCCCACTCTGCTCGCCACCTTCCAGGGCTGGACCCTGCTCCCCACCTTGAAAACAGAGCCTGGGCCCAGCTCCACTCACTGCCCTCCAAGGCTGGACCCTGTTCCCCTCCTCACCCTCCAGGGCCAGACCCTACTCTCCTCCTCGCCCTCCAGGGCTGGGCACCTCTCTCCTCTTCCCCCTCCAGGGCTGGGCCCCTCTCAGCACGCTGCTCTCTTGGGCCAGGCCCCACTAACCTCAACACCATCAGGGCCAAACCCTGCTCCCCTCCTTGTCCTCCACGACCTGGCCCAGCTGCCCTCCTCACCCTCCAGGGCCTTACCCTGCTCACCTCTTACCTTAAGCGGCTGGGCCCGGCTCCCATTGCTGCCAATAAGTCACTGGTGTCACTCGGTGGTCCCTAGCAGCCACTGCCCTCCATCTTTGTGCGCCCCTGCTGTCACTGCAGCATTGGGCAGCCCGCACGGTTCCCCAGCACCTGCCACTTCATGGCCTGCCTTGGCTGCCTCCTTCTGCTTCCTCAGGCACACCGAGTGAGGCCACATCTTTATGCCCCAGTGCAGCCACCAGGAGCCACCCGTCATGGGGCCCCCAGCACGGGCCCCAGCAGCCTCCCTATGATTGCCCGAGGATTCTTCCTACTTCTTCTTGGGCTCCCCTGTGGTTATCTGGGCCCTCTTGTAGCCCCCAGGCCCCACCACACGGCCCCCAGGCCCCACCAGCTCCTCCCCTGGGCACTCCCACTGCCACTGCATCACTAGGTCATCACGTGGACCCCAGAAGCTGCCTCCTCCTTACTCACCCCCCCACAGCAGCTGATTTTAGGACCCCCCCATTCTCCCAGGAGTCGCTGAGTCTTTGAGGTTCGCGCTGCCCCTAGCAGTCATTGCCTCTGTCCTCTGGCACTCCTGCTGTCCCTGCATCATGTCTGAACTTGGAAATGAGGCTCTACAAAGGGGGTCTCAACTAACTCTCTTGTGGCCAAAGTTTGAGGGTGGGCAAGTGCAGAACTGTTGAATGTGCAGAGGGGGAATGTGGGTGTGGCCTGAGGATAGAAATTTTCCCTGGGAGTCACCTTCAGGAGCATGGCTCTGGGAAGGAATGACTTCCAACATGTTCTTTGGCAAAGAAAAACCTGAGCAGGAAAACGGAAAGCATGGGCACGAGTTAAGGTGCCAGGTGACTTCTTCCCAGACATGTGGGTCCTGAGTTCTTTGGGGCACACAAGAAGGCAGCTCAATGGGAGAGGCCACTCGGTCTGCAATGCAGGCTCCTCAGTTCAGATCTAGGAGCTCTAAGTTGTCGCAGGAGTGTCTCATCCAGGGACCTGGGAACTTGGGCTTGGAGAAGGAAACTCAGGGTGAGAAGACTTCCCAGGGCAGAGAGCCGCCTGAGCACAGAGTGCAGGCAATAATCAAAGACAGAATAAAGTGGGAGGAGGACAAAGAGTGTCATCCAACGTGGGCCCTGTATCTTACAACCAGCATCCCACACCAATCGCTTTGAACTGGCTCGGAGACCTGGGGAATCTAAAAGATAAATGACCATGTAGAAGATCAGGGGTTCTCCAAACACCAGAGGAGCAGTCTGCCTTACTCACCTTTCCCATGGAGCTGAGTCCCTCCACGTCCATCCTGAATTTTGTGGCCTCTGTCCTGTAGCCTGTGACCTCTGTCCCCTAGCCTGTGTCCTGTGTCCTGAGCCTGTGGCATGTAGTTTTTGTCCTAGTGCTGGTGTCCTCTTTGCTGTAGTCTGTGTCCTGTGTCCTGAAGCCCATTTCTTGTAGCCTGTGGACAATGTCCTGTAGTGTGTGTCCTGTGTCCTGTAGCCTGTTCTCTGAGCTCTGGGGCCTAGGTCCTGTAGCCTGTATCCTGTGATGTTTGTCATATGTTGTGTAGCCTGTGTCCTGTAATCTATGGCCTATGTCCTGTGGCCTATAGCCTGTAGCCTTTGGCCTTTTCCATGCAGGCTTTGTCCTGTGTCCTGTGGCCTCTGTCCTATAGCTGGTGTCTTGTGTCTTGTTTCCTCTTTCCTTCAGCCTGTGTCATGTAGCTTGTGTCCTGTATCAAGTATGCTGTGTCCTGTAACCTGTGTCCTGTAGCTTGTAGTCTGTATTCCTTAACCAGTGTCCTGTATTCTGTGTCCTGTATCCTTTGTTGTGTATCCTGTGTCCTGTAGCCCGGCTCCTGTAGCCTGTGGACTATGCCATGCAGCCTTTGTCCTGTGGCCTGTGGCCTTTGTCATATAACCTGTGTCCTGTGTCTTGTTTCCTGTGTCCTTCATCCTGTGTCATGTAGCCTGCGTCCTCTGTCTTGTAGCCTATGGCCTATGTATGCATTGAGGATCCTGTGTCCTGTGTCCTGTAGCCTCTGTCGTGCGTCCTGTGTCCTGTGTCCTATGTCTTGTATCCTGTGTTCTAAATCCTGTGGCCTCTAGATGTAACCTATGTCCCATAGCCTGTGTTCTAACCTGTGTCCAGGGTTCTGTGTTCTGTGTCCTGTATCCTGTGTCCTGTATCTTCTGGCCTATGCCCTGAATGCTGTAGCTTGTGTTCTATCTTGTGTAGCCTGTGTCCTGTAGCCTGTGTGCTGTAGCCTGTGTTCATGTCCTCAACCCTGTGTCCTGTGTTCTGTAGTCTGTGCTATATCCTGTAGCTGTGGCCTTTGTCCTGTGGCCAGTGTACTTTACACTTTGGCCTCTGTGCTTTGTCCTGTAGCCAGTGTCCTTGTCCTTTAGCCTGCTCATGTACCCTGATCCATTATCCTGTATCCTGAGCCCTTAGCCTGTCCCTGTGTCTTGTAGCCTGTGTCCTGTGTCCTATGTTGTTTAACATGAGTCCTGGCTCCTGTAGCCTGTAACCTCTGTCCTGTAGCTTTTGGCTCATGTCCTGTAGCCTGTAACCTGTGTCCAGTAGCCTGTGTCCTGTGTTCGGTATTCTGTGTCCTATGTCCTGTGTCCTGTGTTGTCTGGGCTATGTCCTGTGTCCTGTAGCCTGTGGCCTATGTGCTGTAGCCTGTGTCCTGTGTCCTATATTGTTTAGCCTTTGTCCTGGCTCCTGTAGCATGTAACCTGTGTCCTGTAGCCTTTGGCTCGTGTCCTGTAGCCTGTAACCTGTGTCCAGTAGCCTGTGTCCTGTGTTCGGTATTCTGTGTCCTATGTCCTGTGTCCTGTGTCATCTGGGCTATGCCCTGTGTCCTGTAGCCTGTGGCCTATGTGCTGTAGCCTGTGTCCTGTGGCCTCTGTCCTGTGTCTTGAGTCCTGTAGCCTGTATCTTATGCCCTTGTTCTGGGTCCTGTAGCCTGTGTATTGTGTCCAGTAGTCTGTGATGTCGCAGGACACAGGCTACAGCACAGAGGCCACAGGCTACAGGACACAGGACACAGTCTATAGGACAAGGGACACAGGCTACAGGACAGAGGCCACAGGACACAGGACACAGGACATAGCCCAGATGACACAGGACACAGGATATAGGACACAGAATATGGAACCCAGGACACAGCCTAGAGGACACAGGCTACGGGACACAGGTTGCAGGACATAGGACATAGGCAACAAGCTACAGGATACAGGACAGAGCCTACAGGAGACAGGACACAGGCCACAGGACAGTGGCTACAGGACACAGGCTATAGGACACTCTATCCTATAGCCAGTGTCCGGTGTCTTGTTCCCTCTCTCCTTCAGCCTGTGTCGTGTAGCCTGTGTCCAGTGTCGTGTAGCCTGCGGACTGTATCCTTTGTTCTGTAGCTCTGTCCTGTGTTTCATAGCCACTGTCCTAGACCCCCTATCCTGTGTCCTGTGTCCTATTTGTGTAGCCTGTATCCTGTGTCTTGTACCCTTTGGCCTATGTACGCATCCTGAGTCCTGTGGCTTCTGTCCTCTAGCTGGTGTCCTGTGTCCCCTAGCCTGTGTCCTGTGTCCTGAGCCTGTGGCCTGTAGTTTTTGTCCTAGTGCTGGTGTCCTCTTTGCTGTAGTCTGTGTCCTGTGTCCTGTAGCCCGTTTCTTGTAGCCTGTGGACAATGTCCTGTAGTGTGTATCCTGTGTCCTGTAGCCTGTTCTCTGAGCTCTGGGGCCTAGGTCCTGTGGCCGGTGGCCTGTGACCTTGGCCTTTGTCCTATGTCGTGCAGCCTGTGTCCTGTAGTCTGTGGCCTATGTCCTGTGGCCTATACCCTGTAGCATGTGTTCTTTGTCCTCAATTCTTTGTCCTATGTCCTGTAGCCAGTGGCCTTTGCCCTGCAGCCTTTGGCCTGTGTCCTGTGGCCTCTATCCTATAGCCAGTGGGCTGTGTCTTGTTCCCTCTTTCCTTCATTCTGTGTCGTGTAGCCTGTGTCCTGTGTCGTGTATTCTATGTCGTGTATCCTGTGTCCCATAGCCTGTGTCCCGTACCTGTGTCCTGTGTAATGTGTCCTGCAGCCTGTGTCATGTGCCCTGTTTCCTGTAGTCTGTATCCTTTAACCAGTGTCCTGTAATCTGTGCCCTGTGTCCTATGTTGTGTATCCTCTGTCCTGTAGCCCATCTCCTGTAGCCTGTGGACTATGCCCTGCAGCCTTTCCTGTGTCCTGTGTCCTCTGTCCTATAGCCTGTGTCCTGTGTCTTGTTTCCTGTGTCCTTCAGCCTGTGTCATGCAGCCTGCATCCTCTGTGTTGTAGCCTGTGGCCTATGTATCCATTGAGTATTCTGTGTCCTGTCCTGTAGCCTCTGTCCTGTGTCCTGTGTCCTATGTCCTATGTCTTGTATCCTGTGTTCTAAACCCTATGGCCTATAGTGTGTAACCTATGTCCCTTAGCCTGTGTTCTAGCCTGTGTCCAGGGTTCTGTGTTCTGTGTCCTGTATCCTGTGTCCTGTATCCCTCTGGCCTATGCCCTGAAAGCTGTAGCTTGTGTTCTATCTTGTGTAGCCTGTATCCTGTAGCCTGTGTGCTGCAGCCTGTGTCCATGTCCTCTACCCTGTGTCCTGTGTTCTGTAGTCTGTGTCCTATATTCTATAGCTGTGCCCTTTGTCCTGTGGCCAGTGTGCTGTACACTGAGGCTCAGTCCTGTGACCTGTAGCCAGTGTCCTCGTCCTTTAGCCTTTGTCCTGTGTCCTGTAGCCTGGGTCCTGTGTCCTGTATCCTGAGCCCTGTATCCTGTCCCTGTGTCCTATAGCCTGTGGACTGTGTCCTATATTGTTTAGCCTTTGTCCTGTCTCCTGTAGCCTGTAACCTGTGTCCTGTAGCCTGTGGACTATATCCTGGAGCCTGTAACCTGAATCCCATAGCCTGTGTCCTGTGTTCAAAATTCTGTGTCCTATATCCTGTGTCCTGTGTCATCTGGGCTATGTCCTGTGGTCTGTAGCCTGTGGCCTAATTCCTGTGTATTGTGGACTATATCCTGTATCATGTAACCTGTGTCCCATAGCCTGTGTCCTGTGTTCGGTATTCTGTGTCCTATATCCTGTGTCCTGTGTCATCTGGGCTATGCCCTGTGTCCTGTAGCCTGTGGTCTCTGTGCTGTAGCCTGTGTCCTTTGGCCTATGTCCTGTGTCTTGAGTCCTATAGCCTGTGTCTTATGTCCTGTGTTCTGGGTCCTGTAACCTGTGTATTGTGTCCAGTAGTCTGTGATGTCACAGGACAGAGGCCACAGGCTACAGGACACAGGACCAAGGCTACAGGACAGAGGACACAGGCTACAGGACAAAGGACATAGCCCAGATGACACAAGACACAGGATATAGGACACAGAATATGGAACCAGGACACAGCCTAGAGGACACAGGCTACGGGACACAGGATGCAGGACACAAGACATAGGCGACAAGCTACAGGACACAGGACAGAGGCTACAGGACACAGGACACAGGCTACACAATCTAGGACACAGGCCACAGGCCACAGGACAATGGCTATGGGACACAGGCTACAGGACACTCTATCCTATAACCAGTGTCCAGTGTCTTGTTCCCTCTTTCCTTCAGCCTGTGTCGTGTAGCCTGATTCCTGTGTCATGTAGCCTGTGGCCTGTATCCTTTGATCTGTAGTTCTGTCCTGTGTCCCATAGCCTCTGTCCTGAGCCTCTGTCCTGTGACCTGTGTCCTATGTATATAGCCTGTGTCCTGAGTCCTGTAGCCTGTCCCTATGTCCTGTAGCCTGTGTCCTGTGTCCTATGTTTTTTAGCCTTTGTCCTGTCTCCTGTAGCCTGTAACCTGTGTCCTGTAGCCTTTGGCCCATGTCCTGAGCCTGTAACCTGTGTCCTGTATCATGTGTCCTGTGTTCGCTATTCTGTGTCTTATATCCCTTGTCCTGTGTTATCTGGGCTATGTCCTGTGTCCTGTAGCCTGTGGCCTCTGTGCTGTAGCCTGTGTCCTGTGGCCTATGTCCTGTGTCTTGTGTCCCATAGCCTCTATCTTATGTCCTGTGTTCTGTGTCATGTAGCCTGTGTCCTGTGTCCCATAGCCTGATTTCTAGCCTGTGTCCTTGGTTCTGTATTCTGTGTCCTCTATCCTGTGTCCTGTTTCCTCTGGCCTATGCCCTGAATCCTGTAGCCTGTGGCCTGTGACCTGTGGCCTCTGTCCTGTGTCCTGTAACCTGTGTTCTGTAGCCATATCCAATATCCTGCACCACAGCATACAGCACACCGGCCACAGGACAAAGGCCACAGCTATGGGACATAGGCCACGGACTACAGGACACAGGCTACATGACACAAGACAGAGGCCACAGGTCACAGGCCACAGGACATAGGATCCAGAGCACAGGGCACAGGCTACAGGACACAGGACACAGACTACAGGACATTGTCCACAGGCTACAAGAAACCAGCTTCAGTACACAGGATATAAGCTACTATAAAGAGACACCAGCTTTAGGACAAAGACTACAGGACACAGGCTATAGGACACAGGACACAGGCACAGGACACAGACTACAGGACACTCGACACAGGCTCAGGACACAGGACACAGGCTACTACAAAGAGACACCAGCTTTAGGACAAAGACTACAGGCCACAGGATATAGGACACAGGACACAGGCTCAGGACACAGACTACAGGACACTCGACACAGGCTCAGGACACAGGCTCAATACACGGGACACAGGCTAGGGGACATAGGACACCAGCTAGAGGACACAGACCACAGGACACAGGTTGCATACATAGGCCACAGGCTACAAGATACTGGACACAGGCTACACAACATAGGACACGGGACACAGGACTGAGGCTACAGGACACAGAATATGGAACACATGACACAGCTACAGGACACAGATCAGAGGATACAAGACATGGGACACAGAGGATAGGATATAGCCTATAGGACAAAGGACAAAGGAAACAGACTATCAGACATAATACAAAGGCTACAGGACACTGAACACAGGACATAAGACACAGGCTACAGGACACAAGACACAGGATATGGGCCACAGGAAATAAGCTACAGGACACAAGACACAGGCAACATGACACAGGCTAAAGGACAGAGGGAACAAGACACAGGACACCAGCTATAGGACAGAGGCAACACTACACTGGACACAGGACATAGGCCACAGGACACATGCAGAAAGAAACAGGCCAGTGGACACAGGACACAGGACAAAGGACACAGGCTATAGGACACATGCTATCGGACACAGGCAATGGGACACTGTCTACAGGACAAGGACACAGGCCACATGAAAAGGCTAATGGACATAGGACACAGGATAGAGGACACAGGCTACAGCACACAAGCTACACTCTATAGGACAAGCTATAGGTCACAAGTTATAGGAAAGAAGACAGAAGCCACAGGACACACACACTAGCCACAAAACAGGACACAGGACACAGGCTACAGGACACAGGCTGTAGAACATAGGACACAGGATACAGGCCACAGGACACACGCCTACAACACAACACACAGGCTACAAGATACAGGCTACACAACACAGAACACAGGCGAAAGGACTCAGGCTACAGGACACAGGACAGATTTCAGGACACAGGTCACAGGCCACAGGACATAGGCTCCAGAGCACAGGCAGGGCCCTGGCCACGCTCCAGTGACATGCCCCTCTCTCCTCCTTGCCCTCCAGGGCCATGATCCCCTCAGGCAGGGCCCTGGCAACCCTCTAGGGCTGGGCTCCTTCTCCTCTCCATGCCCTACAGAGCCAGGCCCTGCTCCCTTCAGTTGTGGCACTAGACACCCAGCAGGGCTGCCCCACTCTCCTTGTCCTCCAGGGCCTGGGCCCCACTCCCCTAGTTGCCCACCAGGGCCTGGGCCCAGCTCCCATTGCTGTCCTTCAGGGCCAGGCCCTGCTCCCCTCACGACATTCCAGAGCTGGGCCCCAATCCCCTCCTCAGCCTGCAGGGTCGGGCCCTTCTCCCCTCAGGCCCGGCCCTGGCCTCCCTCCAGGGCCAAACTCTGCTCCCCTCCTCACCTCCAGGGCCAGTGTTCCCCTCCTCATGCTCCAGGGCTGGCACTGTCCGCTCCCCGTCTTCATGGAGGAACGACACAGGACCCTGCGCTGTTCTTTTGTCTGCTCGGCACCTCCCCGGGTTTGCTGCTGGTTCTTCCCGGGGTGGCTACCGACCCTTCCACCTCCGTGGAAGGGCGGTTCCCCCTGCCACATTCCCCACTTCCGCGGGGGAGCGGCACACCGCCGGCCGGCTCTCTTGGGGGCTGCACAGGTGTTCCTTCAGATAGATGTTCCCCTTAGATGTTCCTGGTGCATGTTGTCTCTCTCCTCCTTTATAGTCCTCTTCCACCAATCCCAACTCTGCTACCCACATGCCGAGTACGCTACTCTCCTCCAATCAGGAGCAAGATCAGCTCCTGCAGCTCAGTCAATCAAGTTGGTGAGAGGCAGCTGGGTAGAAGCTGTTTGCTCCTCTCCCAGCGCCATATTGTGGGAGAGCAGATGTATAGAATAACTTTTAATTCCAGTAACAGTATAGTCCAAGTTGCTCCCCACAGGCACCAATCTCCTCCTCGCACTCTTGGTCTGGCTCTGCTCCCCTCCTCCCCATCCACAGCCAGGCCCTTCTCCCCACAGGCCCATCCCTGTCCTCCCTCCAGAGCCAGACCCCGCTTTCCTCCACACCTTCAGGGCCAGCCCCTGCTCCGCTCCTGGCCTTCCAGGGCCTGGGTCCCATACCTCTCCTTGCCCTGCAGAACCTGGCACCCACTCCAACCTTCACACTCCAGAGCCTGGGCCCCACTTCAGGGCTTCCCTACAGGGACAGGCCACACTACCCTCAACACCCTCCATGGCCGGGCCCTGCTTGCCTCCTCGCCCTCCAAGGCCTGGGCCCACTCTGCTCGCCACCTTCCAGGGCTGGACCCTGCTCCCCACCTTGAAAACAGAGCCTGGGCCCAGCTCCACTCACTGCCCTCCAAGGCTGGACCCTGTTCCCCTCCTCACCCTCCAGGGCCAGACCCTACTCTCCTCCTCGCCCTCCAGGGCTGGGCACCTCTCTCCTCTTCCCCCTCCAGGGCTGGGCCCCTCTCAGCACGCTGCTCTCTTGGGCCAGGCCCCACTAACCTCAACACCATCAGGGCCAAACCCTGCTCCCCTCCTTGTCCTCCACGACCTGGCCCAGCTGCCCTCCTCACCCTCCAGGGCCTTACCCTGCTCACCTCTTACCTTAAGCGGCTGGGCCCGGCTCCCATTGCTGCCAATAAGTCACTGGTGTCACTCGGTGGTCCCTAGCAGCCACTGCCTCCATCTTTGTGCGCCCCTGCTGTCACTGCAGCATTGGGCAGCCCGCACGGTTCCCCAGCACCTGCCACTTCATGGCCTGCCTTGGCTGCCTCCTTCTGCTTCCTCAGGCACACCGAGTGAGGCCACATCTTTATGCCCCAGTGCAGCCACCAGGAGCCACCCGTCATGGGGCCCCCAGCACGGGCCCCAGCAGCCTCCCTATGATTGCCCGAGGATTCTTCCTACTTCTTCTTGGGCTCCCCTGTGGTTATCTGGGCCCTCTTGTAGCCCCCAGGCCCCACCACACGGCCCCCAGGCCCCACCAGCTCCTCCCCTGGGCACTCCCACTGCCACTGCATCACTAGGTCACCACGTGGACCCCAGAAGCTGCCTCCTCCTTCCTCACCCCCCCACAGCAGCTGATTTTAGGACCCCCCCCCATTCTCCCAGGAGTCGCTGAGTCTTTGAGGTTCGCGCTGCCCCTAGCAGTCATTGCCTCTGTCCTCTGGCACTCCTGCTGTCCCTGCATCATGTCTGAACTTGGAAATGAGGCTCTACAAAGGGGGTCTCAACTAACTCTCTTGTGGCCAAAGTTTGACGGTGGGCAAGTGCAGAACTGTTGAATGTGCAGAGGGGGAACGTGGGTGTGGCCTGAGGATAGAAATTTTCCCTGGGAGTCACCTTCAGGAGCATGGCTCTGGGAAGGAATGACTTCCAACATGTTCTTTGGCAAAGAAAAACCTGAGCAGGAAAACGGAAAGCATGGGCACGAGTTAAGGTGCCAGGTGACTTCTTCCCAGACATGTGGGTCCTGAGTTCTTTGGGGCACACAAGAAGGCAGCTCAATGGGAGAGGCCACCTCGGTCTGCAATGCAGGCTCCTCAGTTCAGATCTAGGAGCTCTAAGTTGTCGCAGGAGTGTCTCATCCAGGGACCTGGGAACTTGGGCTTGGAGAAGGAAACTCAGGGTGAGAAGACTTCCCAGGGCAGAGAGCCGCCTGAGCACAGAGTGCAGGCAATAATCAAAGACAGAATAAAGTGGGAGGAGGACAAAGAGTGTCATCCAACGTGGGCCCTGTATCTTACAACCAGCATCCCACACCAATCGCTTTGAACTGGCTCGGAGACCTGGGGAATCTAAAAGATAAATGACCATGTAGAAGATCAGGGGTTCTCCAAACACCAGAGGAGCAGTCTGCCTTACTCACCTTTCCCATGGAGCTGAGTCCCTCCACGTCACGGCACCAACGATGCTGCAGGAACTTCAAGTCCATTCTTTCTCTCACATAATCCAACACGGATCATGAGGGTGAGGGAGAAAAAGCAAAATAGGTTTTCGTGAGAAAATCATACTCTTGCAAGCCAGAAGGGAGACTAAGGGAGGGGCCCAATAAGGCCTGGGTATAGGAAGTTTAACTAGGGAGTGATGTTCATGGATTAATATTCTAAACAAAATCCAACACCATGTTCTGTGTTAGAAAAAGGTCATGACCCCTAACCATGAAAACATGTTTCCTTACTGGCCATCTGAAATATGCAACAATATATTCTCTCTCTGCCTGCAATTTCTCTTACTGCCTCCTCACCTGCCCTCCTCCCAGACAGGAGTCACTGACTACCCTTCATTGCTACACTCCTCAGGGAAGGGCCCCTCCTCGGGGGCATTTCCCAAGAGGCTACTGAGAGGCCACTTTCCTCTCTGCACTCAAGGGCTTTCCTCTGGGGCTGGCAGGACACAACACATCCAGCTGAAGCATTGGATGATCCTCCTGCCAATCCCCAGGCGCCCCTTGCCCTTTCTGGCCTGCCTGTCTGAGGTCCCTGCCTCCTCCTCCTCCTGCTGCTGCATTCCTGGGATGCTCTGCTCCTCTGAGGCACCCGGGGAGCAGCTCCTGACTTCTCCATCAGCCTCACTGCTGTTGGTGCTCAGTGTGGTGGAGAGAGAGGTCAGAGCATCCTGGCTGAGGACTGCACAGGCAGCGGGGCTCCTTGTCCACACGGCCCGTTGGGACTGTCTGTCCGGCAGGACTCACTGCTGCTCACACTGGGAGTCCCACCGCAAGGAGTCTGCCCCGACTGGTCTCCTGCAAGCACCAGTGGTTGGGAGCTGAGAGCGGCACACTCACGGGCTCTGCTGTTGCAGCCTGAGTGTCCCTGGAGGCACTGGAGAGCGGGACAGCTCTGAGCACCGGGGATGGCCTGAGGCGTGGGCTTCCCTTTGCTGTGATCCCACTGAAGTCCTGGGCACAAGGCACTGGCTGGGAGCCTGGGTGGCAGGGAGCCTGCTTGATGGCCCAGCTTCAATCCCAGGTCCTCAAGGGAGCTTAGAGCTTCAGGACCCTGAGGAGGTGCTGCAGGCTCCACTTGGCTCCGCCCATGTATTTCTGGGATGCTAAAGCCCTGCTGTTGGCAGATCCCCCAGCGTGGCACAGGGGGGCAAGGGGTCATCCCATTCATGAAGCCACAGTGGAGGGCAGAGGCCCCATGGGAATTCCCAGACTTCCTGCTCCTGTGGAAGAAGAAACAGAAACTCGTCACTGGTTCCAGGTGCTCCATGTCCTGCATGGAGCCAGGGGTGGCCCATGATGTCTGCCACTGTGGGCCTGGCCTCAGGGTCCCGGGTCAGTAAGCTGTCCACCAGGTTACACAGCTCTGGGTTTCCATAGTGGGGGATTCTGTAGTATCCAGACAGGATGGCTGCCCGCAGCTCCACACAATCCTCTCCAACAAAAGGCAGTGAGCCTGCCACCATGGCGTACAGGATCACGCCCACACTCCAGGCATCAGCCTTGTACCCGCAGAAACTCCTCACCTAAGAATTCCTCGGGCGCACAGTAGGCAAAGGTCCCGCACAGACTCTTCAGGCGCTCTCCACCAGCCAGTTTGCAGCTGAGACCAAAATCGCTCAACTTAATGTTTAGGTGGGCGTCGAGAAGCAGGTTTTCTAACTTTAAATCCCTGTGCACCACGTGCTGCGAATGGCAGTAATGCACAGCGGATAGAATTTGTTTCAATAGCTGACGAATCTCTCCATCCAGTAGGTACCCTCGTTCTACCATGTAACATCTAAGGTCCCCCTGACTGCGTATTCCATGAAAATGTAGCCCCTCTCTGTGGTGTGCCTGACCTGCAGTAGTTGAATGATGTGAGGGTGATGCAGCCCCTTCATTATTTCTGCTTCTGTGCACAACTGCTGGAAGCTGCAGGAGTGCTGGCCACCATTCTCCACAACCTTCACAGCCACCTGGGTCCTGCTTTCCCCAATGATAGGCCAGGACCACCAGCCCAAAACCGCCCTGGCCGAGGACCCTGAGGACCTGGTACCCATCCAGGACCTCCTCCTCCACTGCTGAAGGCGTGTGAGGCCTTCCATGGTGGGATCCCCACCCCAACCCCCACCCTGCACTCTGACACTGGGAACACTTACATAGTCCCTTAAAGTAACAACAAAAACTGGGAAACAATAGAAATCAAACAAGCAAAGTGGAAACCAAAATTAACAACTCAATATGTAATATTTCTACTAGATAATGCTAACTCTATGAACTATTGGTATACTAATCACTAACAGTGTATCAAAATTAAGAATTAAAAGTTTAAAACACACAGAATACTAAAAATGGTGATGTAAGCGACACCAACTATGGTAACTATGGTAACAATGCTAATCAATAAGTCTTATAACAGTCCTTATCTAAATCAAAGAATCAAAAAATGAGGAAAACAGTCAGAAAACGAGGAAACACAAGGAGGACAAAATCAACACAGCATCAAGTACATTTAG